TGTCTATGTGGGTTGGGGTGGAAGGCCATGGGAAAAGTTTCTCTCTTCTTTGATGAACTCACCTTTCCGTTCTGAAATACTCCCCACAAGTTCTCTAGCTAGGCCTACTCAGCAGCAGTCAGGCTGTGGGAGGTGGAAGGAAGGACATTTTGAAAACCCCAGAGATGGCACCAGGGAGAAAACCTGCTCCACAGGAGAGCACAGGGAAGGATGTCTGTAAGACAAAAGGCTGCTGCATACTCAAGGCACTTTACATGTTGTCTGGGGGTTAAAGGCCTGCTTCTGAGCCCTTCCAGAAGGAGGAAAAGCCACAGATGTGTTCTAGGTAGAGCAGATCGACGGAGCATGAGAGAGATCCAGGACTGGAAGATGGCAGGAGCTTTCCATACACCTTGGAGCTCTGGATTCAACAGATGAGGGAGAGGGGGCATATGTGATGGTGAGCTTTAATTGTTAATTTAACACAGTCTGGATCATCTGGGAAGAGAACCCTAATGAGGGATTGTGCAGATCAGGTTGGCCTTGTGGCCATGCCTAGAGGGGATCGTTGAGGTGGGAAGATCTAGGCAGTGTAGGTAGTACCAGTCCCTAGGCAAGAGATCCTGAGTTGTAGGAGAGTGGAGGAAGCATGCTGAGCACAAGCACACATGCATCCATTCCCTTTGCTCTTGGTTATGACCACGGCTGGCTACTTCAAGTTCCTTCCACCAACATTGCCAGACTGCAACCTGGAACTGTAAGCTAAGATAAACCCCTGTCCCCTAAGTTGCCTTTGTCAGGGTATTCTGTCGCAGCCCCAGAACAGACACCAAGGCTGCCTAAGACTGCAGCAAACAGGCTGCATATGCAGGTGCCTATGGAGTGTGACCGAGTTTTCCTTTCTTCCTAGAGGTAGCTGGTGTGGGCCTGATGACAGCAGGGGCGGGGGGGGGGGGGGTCAGCCTTGAACCCTCAGCAAATCTCCACTTCTGAGAGCACTGAGTCTTTGTGAATCAAAACTGGTACCTTCAAGGTGAGAAATATGAAGACAATTTTTCGTGTTTTGACTCATTTGTGAAGGATTTGGCATGTGCGGCCCCAGTTACACACCTGGCTGCACCTGCAGTCCCCTTCCTAGAGATGTGGTCCTGGAGGCAAGCTGGCTTCTCCAGACCATGCCCCTCAAAGCTTCATCAGTGATTGTGCCCAGTGATGACAACCGTAGGAATCCATGTCCCCACGTAACCTTGCCACCAGACCCAATGCCTGTCGTTTGTTCCCTCTCCATTGCTCCAAAGACCAGTTGTCTTCTTGAGTGGAGCTAATAAATATTTTCATTCAAATCAGTCACACACTGCATCCAGGTGCGATGGCATGTCACTCCGAAGCAGTCACACACTGCATCCAGGTGCGATGGCATGTCACTCCAAAGCAGTCACACACTGCATCCAGGTGCGACGGCATGTCACTCGGAAGCAGTTGCACACTGCATCCAGGTGCGACGGCATGTCACTCGGAAGCAGTTGCACACTGCATCCAGGTGCGACGGCATGTCACTCCGAAGCAGTCGCACACTGCATCCAGGTGCGATGGCATGTCACTCCGAAGCAGTCACACACTGCATCCAGGTGCGATGGCATGTCACTCCGAAGCAGTCACACACTGCATCCAGGTGCGATGGCATGTCACTCCGAAGCAGTTGCACACTGCATCCAGGTGCGACGGCATGTCACTCGGAAGCAGTTGCACACTGCATCCAGGAAGCAGAGCCCGCTCAGCTATCTGCTCACGCTCACTGCCAGTTTCGTGTCTTTTAGATTCACATTAGCTCAGTTTTCTTTCCCATATGTCGCAGGCTTGTATTTTACAACACCAGACGGGGATACTAATTAAACTTCAGAGCTCGCTCCAGCAGTGATTAAACTGAGATTCCTAATGACGGGCCTGGCAGTGATCAATATATCTGCTACACTGGCAATGATTTAGAGAATGCCATGGTTACTGCTTGGAATAAAAGTGAATGAGCTTTGTAAATTTAATTTAGAGGAGTGATAACTTGATCAGCAGGAAAAATATGGCAGAAGCATCTTGTATTTTTTTTTTTCTAACAAAGCCCAGGGCGTGCTTCGAGCCAGATCTGTGATTTAGCCAGGAACATTTAATTGACAACGAGATGAATAACAAGCGACATCTGCCCAGTGGTCCAGCTTCAGAAACATCGCTTTACAAGCAGGAGTGCTCTTCAGGCTCTAGAGGCACCGGCTCAGACATAAAACTTTACATCTGATGTATGTTTCTCCATCCATGCTCACAAGTAGACTTGTTTGCTACATCCTGCTCGGGCCAGCACCTCTGCAACCGCACATGGGAGCAGAGGACAGACACACTCTTCCTCTTTGCCCTCCTGCAGGGTTCTGTGTGCTAACTGTGGGGAAGAAGCATCTCAGACCTTGCCCTTGGGTGGCCGTTCAGGTCGGTCATGTGTGGAACATTCTCAACCTCTCCTTTCACATGACCTTTGCGCATGTACTATTTGTAATATTGATTGCTCCTTGACTGACTGATTGCTCATTGATTGACATTGCTCCTTGATTGACCTTGTATTACCTGTGCCTTCCTTGCTCATGCATGTTCTCCTTGCAGCTTCTACTATACTGTACTTAACCTACTCTGAAATAGGAAACCAGAACCCATGATCTTTGTTTCCTAAATCTCTTCCTCTCCCTGTCGTTCTGTCTCTCTCCAGCCTTCTGACTCTACTTCCCTGGAGAGCAGTGACTCTCTCTCTCTCTCTCTCTCTCTCTCTCTCTCTCTCTCTCTCACACACACACACACACACACACACACACACACACAGTTTTCTAGTTGTTTGGATTCTGCTGTACTAAGAGCTTATAGAGCAGGTTTCTGGAGTCTCTGGCTCCTCCTTTTGTTCTCTTTCCTTGTGCACTGACCTGTGGGCTCTGAGCCTCTAGTTCCTTCCCCCTTCAGTCTCTTACACTGGCCACTCCCTTGGCCCCTCACTTCCCTTCAGTGGTCAACCTACTGCCTTCCTTGAGAAGGCCCCTCCACACCCCATCACACTCTCTATTTCAGGGCTGTGGGTTCAAATCCCTTAGTGTTTTATTGTGCATTAGTTTATACGCTTCTGTTCTTTCTCCTCCAAGATACAGGTTTTGTGAGATCAGGGCTACATCACCTTGTTAGCTCAGTCCTAGGATGGTGCTAAGTGTTTCATAGGCACTAATAGTCTCGACTGCCCTGAAGATCCATATAGCGAGGTGACTGTTGAGACAATCAGCTATTTTGAAGACATCATGAATATATGTATATATTTACCCACAATAATCCTTAGTAGTTGTGACATGAAGTATTTTCCCCTTTATTTGTCTCTTAGCTTGTATCTGGTTCAAATATACTAGGTTGTAGGACAACAGTTTGTTTTTCCCACTCAGAACCCTCACGATATAAAGAATTGCCCTCAAACTCTATTTTAGGATTTATTTTTCTATGCTTAAAATTTGTGTTTTCCCCCTTCCCTGTTTTGATGACAAAGTAAGTTCAGTTCTCAGTTTTTATCTGTTCAGGTCATCAGTGGTCTTATAATCTTGGCTTTATATTTTTTGGAAGAAATGGCTGTGCTGTCTCACATTTCTTTCCTTTGGTGATTGTCTGGCATGGATGGCAGTTAACTTGCTGTCCTAGGAGTCTTGCTTACTATATACCCAGATGCTGAATAAGGTGAACAGATAGGCCAGGAAAGGAAATTCACATCCCTTTCTTGCTTCAAGCTGTGTGCCTCTGAAGCATGTTGCTATGTTCAGGAAGGAGGGATTGCAGGTAGAGAGGGAAATCCTGGTACCGGGATTATTTAATTCCAGTCTCACTGAGTTTGTAGTTCTCAGAGCAATGACAGATGATGATGATGGCCACTGTAATTTCTTCTGTAATGTGATGTAATTTTTATACAAAGACTTATTTGGGAGGAAAGAGACTCTTGCTCAAAACACAGCTCTGCATTTTCCTCTTTTTTGCATGTGCAGATCGTAACTGCCAAAAGTAACTTTGTCATCTATTTTCTTCAACATGAAGTGCTTTCTCCCATTCTTCTTTCCATCTCCGTTAGCTCCCACCTCTCTAGCAAATATTGTCTTATATGAAGTGAAGTCGATGCTCTACTGGAATTTACTGGTGCCACGTAGACAAGGTTTGTCATCAGTGGGATGGGAAAGAAGCAAGCATACCGAGGCTCCAAAGCCCTAAAGCTGGCATTTCATACTTCTCCAAATCATCCTGCACATCTCTAGTGCTGACTTCCTTTTCTCTGGAGACTGTGCGACGGCCCCTCTGCACTTGTCCCTGTTGGTCATGTTTAGCAAATGGAGTCGCTACAAATCTCCACTTATCGAGATGATTTCCAAGCACTCGGAGGGCTTTTGTTGTTGATTGGCCTTGGGGAACAGCGTAGAGCAGGGAAGCTGGCTTTAGGCTGGAATTCACATATCCTTGGTGCACATATAGATCCACACTGATAACTGAATAAGCGGAAATGGCTTTCCCATGGCAACAGAAGACTAGCAAATGGGGATGGTTTAGCTTTTAATGCACATGGGATGTGCTTGCCAGATTAGCAGCTGTAGATGTGGCCCAAGGCCTCTGAGCCAGTTTATTGGCCTGGATCCATCTGGCCACCGTCCAGTATTGCCCACTTTCCAGATACAGGTCAGAATATATTTTAGAGACAAATTGACTCTAAGCACAATTTATCAAGATGCTTATAAATTGACCCCAACTATGAAGGTAATATCCATTAAGCTACTTTAGGCAAAATGGTAAGGGAAGGTATACCAGCAAGTGGAGGTTAACCATGGATCCAAACAAGACCTGTCTTTGAGGACTGTCTACTTCTCCGCAGCTTTCGGGGCAGACATATTCTCAGTAGACATCTACTTCTGCACATGTGCAGAAGGCTGGAAATTAACCCTAAAATAACCCAATTGGCATAAAACACAAAGAATTGCTTTTAGGATAATTAAAACTATTTCGAATCTTTTATTTATCAATCTGGTTTCTAATATAACTTTAGGTAAATGAAAGACATCCACAAAAGAATAATAGGCATACATATATCATTTCCTTCTTTCATTCCAGTTTACATGCTCTTGCTTTTAGAGAGTGAAATTTGGTGGCGTTCCACAGGGATGAAGTCCTAACTAGCTCACGGGGAGACCGTCTCCGTGTCCACTTCAAAGGGGAAAAGAAGCCGACAAAGCAAAGCTGAGAATTGGCAGCATCGAGAACAGTGTCTTGGCCTACTCGGGAGGAACCGCCACACCGTCACAGCCTTCTCAGAAGCCAGCCCCCATGGACTGTATCAGCTGAGCCTGGGAAACAGGACAAAGTGTCTTAGCAGGCGTGTTGTTACAGCGCATTTCCATCTGGACCAGAGACGTGCAAATGGGTGCTGCGTGCGAACACTCGGGGGCCCAGTCTTTATTACCTTCTTCCAGTCTTTACTCAACTTTTAAACATAATTTCTCTGATTAACTGACAGTGATTTTACAGATGAGAGGAAAATAATACTGTGGTGAGAGAAATGTTCTTTAAAGTTTCCGACATTACCGTGAGTGGGACCGTAGGGTAGAGGTGCAGGGCCTCTATAGCACAACGTTTTTGTGTGCGGTTGATTTGTAAGCCAGTCCAGCTACATTTACTGGCTGTCTGAGACTGTATACTGTGAGCCACAGGTCACGGCCAGGTGAGGATTCAGGGATTTACACTAAAATTTCCAGTTTCTCTAGGTTTCCGCTGGGTTCCACTTCCCTCCGTTGACAGCCTATCTGCCTGAGGTCTTTCTGTGTCATAGTTAAGCAATGATTCAGCAATGTCCCTTAAGTCTCCATGCGTGTGCATGGCTACATGGTTTCTATAGTACTTTTTAAATGCAACTTATACCCACAAGCCAAATCAGTTTTTTATGAGGCTCCTTTGACCTTGGAATTTATAGTTGGTCATCAAAGTGTTGCACAGTCGAGAATTCATCATGCTCACAATTGTCTTTCGACGTGGATAAAGCAACTCCATGTCAAGCACTGAAGAAGGATGGACGGAAGTTCAAGGGTATGGCCAGGATCACCTAGCAAGTCTAGGAAGGAGAAAGGGTGGGAATTCTTGCTAAATTTTATTCATTGTGCATGTGTGTATGTGTATGTGTGTGTGTGTGCGCGCGCGTGCATGTGCATGCTCATGTGTGTGAGTGTGTGTAGGTGGAGTGGTCAGAGGACAGCTTGTATGAAGTCAGTTCTTTCCTTCCACTGTAGGATCCATGGATTGGCTTAGATTGCCGGTTTTGTATGGCAACATTTACTAAGCTGAGTTTGACTTATCCAACCAATAATAGTTTCTGAAGTGTTCTTCCTGGTGAGCCACTCAACCCTGAGTTGAGGAACAGGAATCATGCATCTCACTAACTCTTGGCTAAAAGCAAGGGCATCTTTTTAAGATGATGTTTTAGTGAGTGGGACCCCTGAGAGTCAGCTGGTAGATCTCAACATGTGTCCAGGCATGGCAACACACACCTATAATCCAGAATTTATAGGCAAGACATCAAAAATTTAAAGCCAGCCCCTGCTACATAATGCGTTCAAAGCCTGGGTGGGCAACATGAGACGCTGTATCAAAAGAACAAGCAAAAAGACTCTCAGACTGTCAAGATGACTCTTCAGATAAAAGCACTTGCCATACAAAACTGCTAGCTAAACTTTTTTTTTTTAAAGGTGCTTGACAACATAGCAAAAAGGGGAAAAAAGAGTTCAAATCAGGCATTGTTTAGAAGTATGAGATGTAAAAGGAGATTCTTTTCTTAAGAAAGGGCACAGCAAGGAGAGGAGAAAACAGTAACAAGTAGAGCAGAACACAGAGAACAGGTGGTCTTGTAGAAGTTAGTGTATCTTCTCACTCCCTGAACCCTGGTGTGGTGGGAGCCAGACCCATTGGCTGGGATTGAAGAGGTTAGTGTATCTTCTCACTCCCTGAACCCTGGTGTGGTGGGAGCCAGACCCATTGGCTGGGATTGTAGAAGTTAGTGTATCTTCTCACTCCCTGAACCCTGGTGTGGTGGGAGCCAGACCCATTGGCTGGGATTGAAGAAGTTAGTGTATCTTCTCACTCCCTGAACCCTGGTGCGGTTGGAGCCAGTGCCTGTTGGCTTCTCCTAGCAGTACTTTCTGCTGTACAAGGCTGTTGTCTGACCAGGCTTACAGGAGTACCTGGTGCTCTCCTGCTATGTGCAACAACAGAGTTAGGATCTACTCACTGGTCATGGTGGGACTATTGCTGCTGCTGCTGTTACCTTTGAATTCCTGCTCCTTTGGGGAGGAGTTCTTTCTCTTCTGATGCTGATCAGTAGGGAAATTTCTAACAAAAGTCCTCTAAACTCTTGTTCTCAGATCTTCAATTAAAACAATTCACAAAAGCCTTCCTATTTTTAAACTGTTGGTAGATAAGAATGAGGAAATGCATTCTTACATATTAAGAAGGCCCAGGGAAAATTCAACCATGAAAAATTTTGATGTCCTGAATTAGTGTCTCTGTGCCCAGAGAATATGCTATTTTGGGAGTAGAGAATGCCACTGATTTTGCATTCATTCAGCGTCTTTCTTAGCTTCTTGAAAAACCCAGACATTTGGTTTAGACGCAGAGAAAGTTCATGCATGCACAACCCTCCAGTCACCAATGTTCTCTGAAGCTTCATTTATTTAGAACTTTATTTTTTGAGAATGGTTTCACTAGGCAGTTCAGGCTAGCCAGAACTTGCTATACAGCCCAGGCTGACCCTGAACTCATTATCCTCCTACCTTGGTCTCTCCAATGCTGGGATTTCAGGCTTGTACCAGTGTGTCTTAGTCCTTTGGCACAGTGTTTGGGTTTTGTTTGGTTTATATAGTCTTATTGCTTAAAGGAGCTTCCACTGGTCTGTGCTTGGTTGATGATATATTGGCTATAAAATGTCCAGATGGTTGGTAGTGGGGATGAAAAGACAGTCTAGGGTTAGGCAAATTCGGGTTATATCATGACTTGAAGCAGTCTCATACCAAACTGTCAAGGGAGGGAAATGGAACAGAGAATTACTTCTTTTTCTTCAGACGAGCAATTATTTACCATTCAGAACACACTGGCTATGTCTGCCATGCATAGATGTGGGGATTTTGGTTAAGGGCATAATTCCAAGAAAAGGTCAAGACTTCAGGACTCACTTAGCAACTGATTTAGTTACTTGCTCCTCCGCCCACCTCTGGCTCCTGTCTCCAAGGGGATTGTAACCACCTTAGGGAGACTGTGTCGGCTCTCTTCTTGTGTCTCAACTGAGGACAATGTTGTTCAGAACCCCAGCTGTGCTGATGTGGGAGACGGGTTGGACCCTAGTGTTTGCTTTCTGTGGCGGGAAAAAGGGAAGGAAACAGTGAAGAGAAGGGCCAGATGAGGACACTCTAATACTGGGGACTGTCCCGATGGTTTCTCTTGCTAATCATTTGGGGAAGGAAAGTGCTGAGCTAATACAAAATGAACACAGCTATTTTGGGGAATGCCAGAAAGAATAACTTTCCACCTGGCATTATTTGGTAAGTACAAATGTAATACCTGTAAAATAAGTTCTAAAAAAAATCAGAAATATTTCTAAGTCATAATGGTAAACATTTGCCTTTTCAATGTGAAAATATGAAAAAGAATGCTTCACGGTCAGGTATCTTGGTGAAATAACATGAGCTTGGCTCTCAAATGTAATTGTTCTGGCATTTTGTCCTAATAAATAAAACCATTTAATGCTTTATGAAAGAATTTGCAAGGGTGTCCATGGGCCTGTTTGAGGTCTGCCTGCAATTGAAAGAGGTCTCAGGATTCCTTTATATTCTGTTTCTGTGACTGAAGGGGAATGGGCCCACCCCTTACCTCCTTTGGGAGTGCATTGTAAGCTGGAGCAATAAGCAGCTTGGGATAAGGTTTACCATTACTTAAGAAATTTAGATCCTCCAATAATTTGAGTTTTCGGAGAACCTTGAAAGTGTGTGCATAATATCCCAACTACTGGAGCACACATCTCACTGAGACAGACCCTCAGAGAAGTGGTGTCTATACCACTTTAATTTCTCTGCCCTTCTAAGAGCAGAAATGAAGAATCATCACGCTTAATTCCTCAAATGTTGGAGCCTACAAAATTTTTAAAAAGAGGTTTTAAAGTATAAGAGGGCCTACATATTTCAATTATAAATGGTAGCCATTCAAGAAACTTTTGTATAATTAAAAAATTATTTAATTAAATTCCGTTTTGGGTGCTCTAATAGGAAGAATCGCTCCCAATTTCTTACACAAAGTCTACTTTTTTTAAAAACATAAAATCTAGTGTTATTTTTGGAGCAAATGGCTCAAAACTCCTGATAGCCCTAAGATATGTAATCTACTAGACAATAGGAGTCTTTTAAAGAGAAGTGGTGATTGATGATCAGGTTTGTGGCGACTGCACACTCTGATGTGTCTGTCACAGATCTCTGTCTCATGACAGTGTTTCTGCGGTTGAGTTGGTTTGAGGTATGGCAGTGTTTCCCACATGATTCCAGAGTAACAGCTGTTGTAACTTGGCTTTATTGTATTGTGCAATCAAGAGGGTGCTATCTGCTAGGATTTTATCACAGCGGTGTAAAAACTTGAAGTTTAGAGCGAAATTTAAAAAAAAACACACTAATTTATGCATTCACTAGAAAGTGTCCATATTTTCCTTATAAATATAAAAGAAACAGCAAAGAAGACATTCCCTCTGGCTCTAATTCCCCACTGAGGCCTGTATACAAATACAGCCCGATAAGTTAAAGTTAAAACAGAGAAGTCCTGTAACAGTTGCTCACCATGGTGTTATAGCTGATAATTACAGACATTAAAGAGGCCTAAGACTACATCCATGGGACATCATTATGTAGAAGTCAATGGAAAACAGAAGCAATAAACCCAGTATGCCTTTCTTTGCCAGATTCTTGGATGCTTGTCTCCACTTGTGTTGCTTACATTGTTGCAGGACAGGAGCTGCTTCCTTCTTCCTTCACCAGCTAATGACAGACAGGGACCATCAGAAAACTGGCCTAGATGCAGGTGTCTTTGAAGACTGGCAAATAGGCTCTTTGCTCATTTTTTCTTTCTCATTTCTGTTTTATGGGACACCAAAAGAAATATTATCTGGACACAAACTAATTGCTACAACAGCCCATTAAAAGTTGACTAGGTGCAAAAGGAAGAGAATGTCATAAGCTGTATGGATGCGTATCAGTTTTTCTTGAGGAAAAAATACCCACATTCTAAGGGCTCTTAAAAATGTAGAAAACTTGCCCTGTTACCACGGGATCTTAGAACACCTCTAAACACACACAAAATAAGACAGATATTACCTACAAATTCCAACTGTTGCTTAAACTCTAAAAGCATTTTCTTTTAATACAGAAGGGGGAACTCAGCTATAAAGAAATATTAAAAAGTATATTTTTGTGTGGCCATCAGTCTTAAGAATATTGGGTTGCTTGCCTTCCCCAGCTTGTGCTGATACTGTAAGCATGTGCTCAGGGGTGTGACACAGGGTGCTCTTGTCCCTCTCCCTCCTCCCTTAGCCTCCCTCCCTAGCCCATGGCTAAAAAGCCACCCCTCAAATGAGCCACTCTTTTTTGCTCTCATCAATGGTCTCTGTGAAGTTGGGGTCGTTGTTCATGATGGCAGCATCTGCGCTCTCGGCTGACTCAGCTCCTTTGGCCTCGTTGGTGTGGTAGGTGCCCTTGTGACGGAACATGTACCGGATGAGGAAGACCAGGGTGCAGAGGATGGTGAAAATCACCACAGCGATGACCCCTGGGGACAGTAGATAAATACCAGAAGTTAAACGAGCCTTGTCTACATTTCTATCTCCCCGCTGCATCCAGCTCCCTTGGATATGACTCTTCCCCACAGAAAACAGTGACAGTCATGAAGACACAAAAGGTTTAACAGGAACCAGAAGGTGTCTTGTCCTCTTGCCCAAAGTAACTAAAAACTAGATAAAATATATGACGCATACGCCTTCAGACAGTGGACAGCAGATAGACAGACACACGGTGCCTGAGGAAAGAGTCAGAAATGACGAGTTTCCACACTTTGTCCAGTTTTCTGACCGTCCACACCGTTCTGCAGAGACAACCAGGAGAACCCCGTGAGCTTCTTGAACTGGGGGCGGGGCTTCAAGGCCAGTGCATGTGCTCCACACAGATGGATCTGCTAATCCGTGAAGCTGCTGAACCTCCAGCTGAACACTAACACGTGCATGTGTGCATACCCATGACCCTCCACAGGGCAGGGAGGCACAGGAAACAATTTCCAGAGCTCACACAGGGCTGCAAGATGATCAGGCTCTAACGGGAAATAACTGCAGGCATTCGGTTCAGACTGGGAAAGGTCATGCTAAAGGCATGCTTTTGAGGGAGTGAAAGGTCTGGCAGGATTTGACCTGCAAAAAGCTTAACATGACTAAAAGATATCAAGCTATAAGTGCTGCGAGAGATCTCGGCATGCAATATCAAAAGACCATTCAACGCCCAAACTCAGTCATGCTAATAATGTCTAGCAGCCAATATAAAAATGACCAGATATGCAAAGAACAATTTTTCTCCTATGAGAAAATCAATTAGACTAGAAATGGCAGAGATAACAGAGTGAGCACAGAGGGACCTGTGCAAACCAATCCCTAACAATCAAGACTGACTATGGAGGCAAAATCAATAAGAATGTACAAGACCTGGACAACATGGAGTCAGGTTTGCTAACAAGCTGTAGATTGGGGAAAAAATATTTATCTGTGGTCTGACAAAAGACTTGTACCCAGAATATAAACTCTTTCAAATCAGTAGCAAGAAACCAAACAACCGATTAAGGAGGTGGAGAAAGATTTCGAGGTACTTCACAAAATAATCATATAAGACAGTAAACACTGAAAAGACACCGAGCATCACTAGTGATGAGATTATCTTTCGCTACAGAGATGCCACAACTCACCTAGCGGAGTGGCTAAGTAAGAAGGCTGTCAGCACCAAGAGATTGGGGAACAAGCGGCCTTTTTAGAGATTGATCATGGGACTGTAGGTGGTTGGGTCGTTTTGGAAAGCTGCATGGCAATGACTTACAAAGTTAAATATCTGCTTTCTTTACTGTGTTAGTGATTGCATTTCTAGGAATTATTGAGGAGTCTACCTAAGGTGTATACCAGATTATTAAGTTGTGTGTAGCTTTACTTTTAATAACCCAAATCTGGAGACGAGACAACAATCTAGCAATGGGTACGTGGATAAAACAAATGATGGCACAGCCATTCAATGAAATACAATTTGGCAAGAGAGATAAATTTGTTGATGAGCAAAATAGTGTGGACAGATATAAAAATATTATGCTGAATGAATGAAAGTGCGGCAAATTTTATACTAGTTATGAAACTGTGGAGGAGTGAAAGGAATAGGTGGGGACTTAACAAAAGGGACAGCAAAATTAGCCGAGAGGAGTTATTTTACGTTGGTGTGTTCTATACGTTGCGGTGGTGGATATGGGTGTATGTTAAAAAGTCACTGACCTGTTTCTTGTATAAGTTCATATGATACTTTGAGTTTATCTTAAAACTACAACAATAACAAAACTCCAAAAAGTCAAAATCAATAAGGATAGGGACCTTGATGAGATTATACTTGAACTTGGGATGATGTCACTTAAATACCCTTTTGAACATTTTTAATGTACTTTGTTTATGTATATGTGTTGTATATATTTGGGTATATGTGCACATGAGTGTGGGTGCCTATGGATGATTCCTGGAGCTGGAGTTACAGGTAGTTGTGAGCAGCCTTCTGTAGGTTCTGGGAACTGAACTCGGGTCTGTCTGGAAAAGCAGTCTTTTGTCTTAACTGCATAGCCATCTCTCCAGCCCCATTTTTTTTTTTTAAAAATCATTGCTTTTCCCTGGTGAATAGCTGCTATGTTGTATGTATCACATACCTCCGATGATAGCTGAGTTCCTGTTGACTCCGTTTCTTATAGCTTGGCCTTGTCCTGGGTTGTATGGGAAATCAGCACTGGCTGCAGAGAAAGAAAGAAAGAAAGAAAGAAAGAAAGAAAGAAAGAAGAAAAAGTGAAGTTGAAGAGGCAAGCACACAAATAATTTTATATTTATTTCTTCATACAACTCTCTGACACTTTCCATTTGTAAAATGAAATTTCCACCTCAGATGGATCCAACCTTACCATTGCCTCCTACAAAAATTCCAGAAACCCCCATCCCTGATTTCACTAAAAGTTCCAGTGCTATGACTTGTTTGAGGGGAACAGTAGGGGAATGTTAGCTAAGAATGTTCCGAGCCAGCCTGTCACTGCTCTGCTGGCAAGTCTGCTTTTAGAATAGTCATCCTGGGGTATTATCTAGCAGTTTGTTTCAGGACACTGGGTTCATGGACATTCAACTCCTGTATGTAACTCGGAAGCATATGACTTCCATAATCGTCTCTACATTGCTAATCATATCCCACGGACTTCAAAGAATATTGTAAATTGACTCTGGATAACCTTAGAGAGTAATGACAGGGGGACAAGTCTCTCTGCATTTAGTACAGACCATTTAAAGAGAGACTTCGCCAGTTCTTTGAATCCTTACCTGCAGGACCTATGGACACAGACGCAGGGTGGCATTTGTTTTCTCATGTTCTGAAATCTGTCTCCCATCCACTTTTTTCCACACCCTACTGCCAGTTTAGGGTTCATGTGCCGACAAAAATTTTACGGCACATACTATTAGTTTAAAAGTAACGGCTTCTTTAATATTTAGCATGACTTTAATAAAACACTAGAACCTTCAGCAATATGCAAAGGCCTTAAAGTTCAGAAACGTTGAGAAGAATGCTAATAGCTTAATTTTCTATTTCTTTCCCAGTTCAAAAAATATTAGAAGCAGTTGTGTCAAGTTTAGATGTTCCACTCAGATGGATCCCTCTTATCGCTCCAAAGGCAAATAGATTCTGAAACCTTAAGTCAGTGGAGCATCTACAGTAAGTAATCCAAAAAAAGCAAATTCACCTTCAAGGGTGGGTTTTTCTTGGTGGGGGAAGGGCTGCTGGGTCAAACCTATGGCCTTGCACCTGCCAGGCAAAGTTTTTCCACTGAGCTACATTCCCAGACCCTTCCAGTCCACAAACAGATTTGCAGTGGTAGAAATTTCCTTTGAAAAGTTCAAGCAAATCTCTCAATGGAAGTAACTTTTCTTCCAGCAGATGGAGCAGAGAACCCAAGTTTGAAGTAGACCGAATCCTGCTGGATGGCACTAAGTCACTGAGAGAGATATTTCCAGGGTCTGAACTTGCTATAATTAAACAGAGGCCGGTGTTGTGATTCAGGTAGAACCATGCCAGGAACTCAGTTCCTAAGGCTACTTCATCCCGGGGTATAGATGGGGGAGAATCTCCAGGGTCATGACAAAAACAGCCAGAGCGCTTCCCTTCCCATCTCCTTGGAAATATGGGAATCTCACATTTTTAATCAGTGTGTAATTTAGTTTTTTCTCTCTTAGACTTCATTTAAAATTTCTAAAAATCTAATTTTCATTTATTTTGCATATGTGTGTATATATGTGGGCATGAATGTTCCAAGATGGCACTGGTGGAGGTTAGAGACCAACCTGTTGGAGTTGGTTCCCTCCTTCTAACATGCGGGTACCAATGATTGACCTGAGGTGATCAGTCTTGGCAACAAGTGGCTTTACTTACTGGACCATATCACTGGCCTCAGATTTGACAGGTTCACCCAGGGCTAGAGAAATCATTCTCTCTTGGATTTGTACATTATTAATCAGCGTCATTCAAACCTGCTGACTGCTGATGGCCATGAACTCTGATAAGCAAATGAGTGAAGGAAAACTCATCTGCAGGTTATCCACACTCTCTCCAAATCTTTAACTGTGAACATAAACAGTGCCTTTGCTATGTAATTTGTTGTCCCTGGTGGCCTAATTACATGCCCCAATGGAAGACTTTGCTTATATAGTGAAAATGCTAATGAAAAGTGTGGATGTGGTTTGAACTACGGTCTTCTTCAGGTCTGGTGACTTGTTTGAGTTTACCTGTAGTTTTCCCATTGTGTGTCATGTGTGTCATAAGGCACGGTAAGATTTGCTTTATCCCTTGACATGGCCACTTTTCAAGGATGAAGTTTAGACTATTATTGTCCATCTTTTACATCTTCAGGCCTTTGGATGTTGTTAATTACCCTTCTCCATATGCTACTTGGTCCATCTCTAGCCTGACTGAAATTAGAACCCAAGCTAATTCCAAAAGAAGCAATCTTCTCACGTTTGAGTCCTTTGAAAACTAGGAAGATCCAGGCAGGTGAGTTGTTTAAAAGACCCAGTTTATTTTAGATGGTGGAGTATGGGTTAGAACTATGACAAGAAGAGCCCTTTTAGGGGATGAAAGAAAAAATTTGTGTTGGAATTACTAAGTTTGCTGTACCTATAGGACTCTCACTTTGACCTCTCTTCTAGACATTTGGAGACTTGAGTAGGTCAAATTTCTTGTCTTCTGAGTAACACAAATATTCTGGCTTTCTTTAAACAATATGAACTTTCCACATACATTAAATATCTGCTCAGAAATGTGTGTATAAAATGTGAGATTTCATCGCTTCTCGGCCTTTTGGCTAAGATCAAGTGTAAAATGTGAGATTTCACACTGCCCTGGCATATACTTTAGTTCTTTTTCTCTTAGACTTGATTTAAAATTTTTATTTTATTTTTTATGTGTCAAGTATAGCAAGTAGTTTTGTTATCAGCCTACTGTGACAACATTCATGACATTATAGGGTGGTTGCTTTCTGCCTGCATGACTCTAATAAAACGTGATACACTTCAGGAATTTGTAGCATGGTATAATTCATAATGTGGAGATGAACCATGGCAAAATTTCTTTCAGCTTCAAAGCCTAGCTTGTGACATTGTGTCCTTGGCCTCAAAACTGTCCAAACTCTCGGCTTCTTAGACATATTGGTGGCCCTCTTCTCATTTATTTTTCTTCCCCTCCAATGCTGAGGGGAACCCAGGTCCTCGTGCAAGGCTGGCGAGTGCTCTACCACTGGCCAACATCCCGACCCCTCTCTAGTTCCTTTCATGTCACAGCTGTAAATAGTGTTGGAAGTTTGGGCTGGAGAAGAGACACGCAATGACTTGGAGAACGGCAGGAGTGAGAGGACACTTGTAACCTCCCAGGACTGCCGTTCAGGTGAACCTGGATTTCTTGGTCTTGTAAAGACTTCATGTAATCGAGCCTCTCTCATGTTTCTTCCTTCGTGGGCTACTCTTCTAACTGAATATTCTGGATGTAATAGATTCTTAATGCTTCAAGTCAGTTCATTAGGGAACACTCCTGCCTGGACATCTGGTTTACCTTCCTTCTCTTTTCTCATCAAATTTTATCTCTTTCTTGAAAGAAGTACCAATTTCCAATTAAGTGGCCAAGTCTCCTTTCAATAGCTACAGTCTTAATTCTTATTATTTCCTTTTCTTTCTATCTTATCTCCATGTGTGTTCCCATGTATGTAGAAGCCAGAGGACAACAATGAATGCCATCCTTAAGGCACCATACACTTTTTTAAAAAATCTTTTTGAGACAGAGTTTCTCACACACCCCAAACTGAGATTGGCTGCCCAGTGAGCTGGGATCTATTTGCCTCTGCCCCTCCAGTGCTGGAATCACAACATGCCACTGTTTTTTAATGTGGGCTTAGCAATCTTCACAAACCCCACATCAGACAGAGGTCTGATCTCCAAAATACACAAAGAACTCAAGAAATTGGTCATCAAAAGAACAAATAATCCAATAAAAAGAATGGAGTGCAGACCTAAACAGAGAACTCTCAACAGAGGAATCTAAAATGGCTGAAAGACACTTAAGGAAATGCTCAACATCCTTAGTCATCAGAGAAATGCAAAACAAAACAACTCTGAGATTCCATTTTACACCGTAAGAATGGCTAAGATCAAAAACACTGATGACAACTTATGCTGGAGAGGTTGTGGGGAGAAGGGAACACTTCTGCATTGCTGGTGGGAATGCAAGCTGGTATAACCACGTTGGATGTCACTATGGTGATTTTTCAGAAAATTAGAAAACAACCTTCCTCAAGACCTAGTAATACCACTTTTGGGCATATATCCAAAGGATGCTCAATCATGCCACAAGGACATGTGCTCAACTTTGTTCATAGCAGCATTGTTTGTCATAGCCCAAAACTGGAAACAATATAAATGCCCCTCGACTGAAGAATGGATAAGGAAAATGTGGTACATTTACAAAATTACTACACAGCAGAAAAAAATAATGACACCTTGAATTTTGCAGGCAAATGGATGGAGCTAGAAAACATCATTTTGAGTGAGGTAACCCAGATCCAGAAAGACATATGCTCAATCATAAATGGTTTTTAAACATAAAGCGAAGAAAATCAGCCTGCAAATCACAATCTCAGAGAACCTAGACAAAAATGAGGACCTTAAGAGAAACATACATGGATCTAATCTACATGGGAAGTAGAAAGTAGAAAAAGACAAGATCTCTTGAGTAAATTGGGAGCATGGGGACCTTGAGAGAGGGTTGAAGGGAAGGGGAGAGTCAGTGAGGGGAGCAGAGAAAAATGTAGAGCTCAATAAAAATCAATAAAATAAAAAAAATGTGGGTTAAGCTATCAAACTCTATTCCCCATGTTTATAGAGAAGTATTTTATCCTCTGAACCTTCTTCCCAACATCTTATCACTTCTTACAAGGTAGTTGTCATCTTAAAGGAAGGGACAAATCTCAGTTAAAAATTTCATTTTGATATATAACTATGTTCTAATAGTAATGAGGGAGGGATAAATACATATTCATTGGTGAGCATGATTAAAATCAGTCTGTGCACGGTTCTTCAGCCTTCTGTGGAGCCTGTTTGTACCGGATAGCGTTATGTCAACTTGACACAAGCTGAAGAAGTCATCAGAGCGGAGGAGCCTCATTTAAGAAAAGGCCTCTATGACATTGGGCTGTAGACATGCCTATAGGCT